CAGTTACCATGGCGAGGTTTTTTTTTTTTTTTTTTTTTTTTTTTTTGCAAAACTGAAACTCTGCAACTTAAACCATTACTTTGCAAGTTCCTCTTCACCCTGCTTTGATATCATGCCGCTTTGCCTCTGCATTCAGTTGCTATAGCTGCTTCATATAAGACATATGCTTATGCGTTTGTGTCTGGTATATTTTGTTTGGCATAACTTCTTTAGTGATCACTGTGTTGTAGTATATGTCAGAATTTTCTTCCATTTCAAACTGATTGATACTCTGCCTCATCTGGGGTACTAGTGCCATCGTCTGTACATTGAATTGCTGGTAGACAGTGCTCCCACAGTTTGTTGTGAACCATGCTACTGTAAATATGAGCACACTAGCATCTGTTCGAATCCTTGTTTGAACTTCTTTTGTGTATATATCCAGAAATAGAATTACTGCATTATTTAAGAAAAAAATAAATGCATGTCAGGCATTTGGTATGTTTTTAATTTGTGAGGGTACTATGACTTAGCATAGCCATCAAAGCTTTGATACGGTTACCTGGTAGTTGAGCTATGAAATACCCTGTCTGCTTTTTCCTTAAAAGGTATTCTGCTCTTCCCGTCTTCTAGTACTCCTTATGCTTACGGTTTGACAATTGCTCTATTTCATAAAAGAGTGCCGCATTTTGATTAAATGTAGTGCTTGTTAGATAAAATAGTATTTCATTACAATTTCTAAGGGGAAAGATAAAGTTCATTTAATAAAATGAACTTGAAGGTATGTTAAATTGTGCCCCAAGTTCAGTCGGATTTCCTGTTACCTGTTGGTTATCTGTGGCTTCTTCAGTGGAAATAACATCCCTATATATCAGTCTATGCTACCAGTTAGTGAATGTCATCTTCAGGTTTGACAGGGAATGATGGAGGAGAACTGCCTGTGGGCTTGGACAGGACCTCAGGGGTTTGATGTCTGTCCTGACTCTAAGGACGTCAGGGTGGGACTAGGAAAGAGTAGGATCTAGGGATGCTTTCAGGGACTGGAAACCACACAGGGCAGTAGTAGCCAACCAGTGGGTTGAACTCTTGTCAGGTTGTGGGTGTAGAAGCTAGTGGCAGCTTAGTGTGGATCAGGAATGAAACCTTTGAGGGAGCTGGTGCTGACTGACTGTATCTCTGCTGAGGAAGTCACTCACCCTGTGCTACTTGTTGACAAGTGTCTTGAATGGCTTGAAAGGTTCCAGGGCTGTTTTGTGTTGGTTTGGTTGCTGGTCTGGGTTTGGTGGAGAGTAAAGCCCAAGATCCAACTTAAGAAAACCAGCAGGACTGTAGTGTGCGGTCGCCTGCTGATTTTTAGAAATGCTGTGTCTGCCCTTATTGCACTTTACAGGATTAAGGACTCAAACTGGTACTCTTGCCTTTTCCATCCATTCTTCTTTTGGAGGACCCAAGCATTGTGTCTGTGACCTCTTCCCTACATAGGCAGCTGCCTCAGCGGACCGGACCCCTTCCTTTGATCTAGAATAGCTGCTCTGTCCCTGTTTTCCAAGACCTTGTTTTTGAGGAGAAGCCAGTTAGTACACACCCCTCAATTGTGTTTTGTCTAGTATTTCCTCATGGTGAGTCACAGCAGTGACATGGGACCTCTCGGGCTCTCCAGAGGCACATGTTCGCTCTTTGTGCCACTTTTGATGGTTTTGCTTTGATGAGGGTGATACCACTGAGTTTCTACACCGTTTCCCCGTCTGTGGTGAGTAAATACTTTATGGAGAGATAGTTCACGGCTGCACATGTTCTCTTGCTGTCGTTTTGTCTAATTCGGCATCTATTGCTGGTTCTTCTTGTATAGGGAAGTTATTGTGATTGCCAAAGGACTTTAGGTCTTTAAAACGTTTACTTTTAGAAAGATTTTTTGTATTTTATTATTATTATTTGTAAGTAGAGACTGCTCGTTCGTTTTCCGGCTGCCCAGACCTGAATAATCACACAGAAATTATATTAATATCAACATTGTTTGGCCAATGGCTCAAGCGTATTTCTAGTTAGCTCTTAACTCAATTCTATTCATCTGTGTATCACCACAAGGCTGTGGCTTACTGGGTAAAGTTCTGGGCATCTTTCTCCTTCAGCAGCTACATGGTGTCTCCTTGATGCCGCCTAATCTCTCTGTTTCTCTGTTCAGATTTCCTGCCTGCTTTACTCTACTAAGTCATTGGCTGAAACAGCTTTATTCATTAGCCAATAAAAGCAACACATATACAAAAGAATATCCCACATCAATTTTTTTTCTTTTTTTTTTCAAGACAGGGTTTCTCTGTAAAGTCTTGGCTGTCCTGGAACTAGCTCTTGTAGAAGGGGCTGGCCTTGAACTCAAGAGATCCTCTGGCCTCTGCCTCCCAAGTGCTGAGATTAAAGGCATGCGCCACCACTGCCTGGCTTAAGATTTTTTTTTTTGTTGTTGTTGTTTTTTTAATTGCATATGTGTGTGTTCACTTTTTCATCAATACACATTTGAGTGTAGTTGCCCAAGGACGGTAGGAGAGGTGTCCAGATCTCCTGGAGCTGGAGTTGTTAAGTTGCCTGATGTGGGTGCTGGGAACTGAGTTGTAGTCCTCTGCATAAGCAGTAAGTGCTTTTAACTTTGAACCATCCCCTCCAGTTCCACTTGACGGTATTTTCTTACATGGCAAATCAAGACTAAACTTCAGTTTCAGTGTGAGGAATTTGATTATAGATTGTTTTCTAAATCCATTTCAAATCTCACGAACCTGGACAATTTCCCGGATGGTGTGCTGGGTGTGTAAGGAGCTCCACGTGTGTTCTGTGTGTGCTGGGTGTGTAAGGAGCTCCACGTGTGTTCTGTGTGTGCTGGGTGTGTAAGGAGCTCCACGTGTGTTCTGTGCCGGCCTCGCCCTGGCGACCTGCCTTGTTCTGTACATGTTTGACTGCCTGAAAACCCATTCAGGGCTGCACCTCTAGTGTTTTTTTTAGAAATAGGGATTTCTTTGAGGATACTGGTATTGTAGTTTGGTTTTATCTTGCTGTTTTAGAAGTTGGGATTTTATAATGCTGATTAGGAGTTTTATTTCGAGATCTGTCCTTTCCTGTCATACTCTATGACAAATGAGATTGATTTAGAAATACTGTTTTTAGCACATGTGAAAATAACATTTTTTCAATTGTCCCTTTTTTTTTTTACTGTGATACATATGTAAAGCTATGTTTTGGTAAATTCAAATGATTTATTTTGAGTTTAATGAATTCTAATTAAAAGAAAACCCAGTAATTTATATCCTGTATAACTGAAAGGACAGCTGGGTCATCTCTGCTGTTCTTACATGGTCTCAGGAAGACTCCAGTGCTGTGCCCACGCTTTGAGCGCCCGCGAGGAATGTCCAGTCAAGAAGAGCTTTGACAGGGACCGGTGCAAGCTAGACACATTGACGATGAGATGGGATTCTAGAAAACTATGAGTTTGGGGCAGAAACCTTTTATGAATAGAGTGTATATATGCATGGTAGGTGTCCTTTTGAAATTCAGGTAGATTGGTTTTTAATAACAGCAGCGTTTGCTTTTCTCAAGAAGCAGTGACTGGGACCTGCTGATAAAGCCTTTGCTCAGAGGCACAGACCCCAGAGTTCTTAAAGCCCTTTCCAGCCATAGGTGAAGCTCATTTTGATGTTTAACATTTAAAAGCTTGTGAAGCGAGTAGGGCAGCATCAATTTTGAGAAAAATTAAGTTAAAAGTAGAACCACGTCTGTGAATAGACCTTGAGAACAGCCCTCAAAGAGAGGGTGTCAAAATTAGGCTCTTGGTGTGCTCTCATTGTGACGCAGCAACCACATAATTTCCCAGAAATGTGTCCTTCAAATTTGTGATGACTGAGTTTGTGTGGAATCTGGTTTGGGGAAAATGGGCAACTTAAAGTCTGTGTCTAAGCTTAGACTATGCTATCATTTTAGGGTTTGCTGTGCAAAGCTAGACTCTTGGGAGAGTGCCCCTTCTGCTTATCTGCCCATTCGGAGCTGTAACAGTTTCTAAGGACTTAGACGGGTGTACCGATGAAAGTGTTCCATCTTTCTCTAAACTCTTGTTTGGAGGTGTCTGGCGGCGTTGACCTCTGACTTGGCAGAGCATCTGCTCATCTTCCACCCTT